TAAACCCTAAACCCTAAACCCTAAACCCTAGAGCCTACGCCCTCAACCCTGAAAAGCAAAACCTTTGGCAGCCTTCCAAAACAAAATTTCCTTTGGCACTTAAATTCAGGTTCTTAATTATCAATTATTTTTTTATCCTTAAACCCTAAACCCTAAACCCTAAACCCTAAACCCTAGAGTCTGGGGTCCACGCTGCGTGGTCAACAAGCGATGTGCAGTGAGAGGCCCCGCCACAGCCAGTCTAGGGTTTAGGGTTTAGAGTCTAGGGTTTAGGGTTTAGGGTTTAGGGTTTATAATTTTTCTTTTCAGTCTTTGCTGATGAAGACAGAGACTTCAGCCGAAGCAACGTGCTGCACTAATATCAGTAGGACCAGCAGCAGCAGCGGTAACACCAGCAGCAGCAGCAGCAGCAGCAGTAGCAGCAGCAGCAGCAGCAGCAGCAGCAGCAGCAGAACGTGAGTTCCTCAAACCCATGAGTCTAGCAGCAGCTGCAGCTAGACTACCTCTCGGGTGTACGTAAGCCCGGGCTTGGTTGTGCTGCAGCAGCAGCAGCTGCTTCTTAGGCCGAATGGGAAGGAAACCCCAGCAGCAGCAGCAGCAGCAGCAGCAGCAGCAGCGGCAGCAGCAGCAGCAGCAGCATCAGCGGCTAATTTTGGCCTTCAGGAGAAGGCACCTGCTGCCTCCTCGTTGGGTGTACGTTCACCGGAAGTCTGGGCATTGGGGTCACCTCGGGGACATCGCTGCTGCTGCTGCTACTGCTGCTGATGTAGTATAAGTACATCTATGGACTCCCTGTTGGCGCGCCGCCGGCATTTTCATCCTTTTGCAAACTTTTGAGAAATTAAAAGTCCATTTAAAAGCTTTTTGTTGAAAACTTTTATTTTTGAATTTGCTGCTGCGCATGCAAGTTGTGTTTCCACGAAGTTCGCAGCTTTTGCTGCACCTGGCCCCGCAGCAGCACAAATGAACTTAAATGTTTCCATTTTTGTTGCAATTAATTGGCCAAATGGACTTTATAAAATCACAAATTTAAATTTAAATGACGATTAATGTTTCGTCTTTTATTTTTTTCTCATTTCGCTGCATGCGCTGGGGTGTACGTACACCTGCGCTTCTACGCCCGCCCATTTCCGGCGGAAATTTTTCGATTTTCTGCGAAATTTTTTGTCAAAAAGTTCTTTTAAAAGCTCAGAAATAATCCCATTTGATTTTCTTTTGTTTTAATTCCACAAATGACTTTTATTTCGGAGAAAAATGCATTTAAATGGCCTTTCTCGAATTTTGGATTTACGTCCATCTGCGCAGTTTCAGGTGTACGTACACCTTAACGCGCATGAATGCTCCCCCGCCCGCAACGCAAAAAATTCTTTTTAAATTCAAATCAAATAATCTTTTTCTAAATTCAACTCTTCAGGAAAAAGAGCCTCAGCTCCTATCTCGCAGCTGCCTCCGCAGCTTCTCAGCCCACGCCCAGATAGCCAGCTAGCTGGCTAGCTAGATGGCTAGCTAGCTGGCCAGAAGCTAGCTAGCTAGCTAGCTAGCCAGCTAGCTAGCCAGCGGGCCACAAGCGAGTCTCAATTCCTAGAGCTACCCAGTTAGCTAGCAACTTCGCTAGACAGCTAGCTAGCTGGCTAGCTAGCCGCCTGCCGCAATTTCTGGCCAGATATCTGCCTGCCTGTATAGGTGCCTAGCTAGTTAGCTAGCTAGCTAAGGCAGCAAGTAGCTAGCTAGCTAGCTACTGCCCTGCTGCTGCCCCGGCTAGCTAGGTAGCCAGGGCAGGGGCTATCTAGCAAGCTAGCTAGCTAGCTAATTAGCTGCCTAGCCCGCTGGCCAGCTAGCTAGCCAGCCGGCCAGCCAGCCAGCCAGCCAGCCAGCCAGCCAGCCAGCTAGCCAGCCAGCCAGCTAGCCAGCCAGCCAGCCAGCTAGCTAGCTAGCTAGCTAGCCATCCAGCTAGCTAGCCATCCAGCCAGCTAGCCGTCCAGCTAGCTAGCTAGCTAGCTAGCTGCTCCAAAGGTAAAGAACAACGCCAATGACAAGCACGATCCCGACTCCAGCAAAGACGATCCCCAAAATGGCCTCAATAGTAAGAGAGGGGGAAGAGTTGTTGCTGCTGCCCGTCTCGGAGTCTTCTGCTGCTGCTAGCCCTGCGCCCAACATCCTAAACCCTAAACCCTAAACCCTAAACCCTAAACCCTAAACCCTAAACCCTGAACCCTACGCCGTGAAAGGACAGGGGCGGAAAGTTGCCGAGTCCTTTTTACTATGACCTCAAGCTTGAAACCAGAACGCTTCTTAGAGGTGCCGCCCTAAACCCTAAACCCTAAACCCTAAACCCTTAGCTCTTAACCCTAAACCCTAAACCCTAGGCGCCGCACCCTTGACCCGATCACTTACTTGCGCATTCCTCGTCCGTTGCAAGGGGACCTCGACAAGATTCCAAGCCGATAACTGCAGACAAACCCTAAACCCTAGACCGTAAACCCTAGACGCTAAACCCTAGATCCTAAACCCTAAACCCTAAAAAGGTGAGCCTATAACCCCAAACCCTGGACCTTTAACCCTAGGCCGTTTTCCCAGTGCCTGCAGAAGGCCTAGTCCGGGCAGGATGAGTTGTTTGTGTGGTGTAGGTTTAGGGTTTAGGGTTTAGGGTTTAGGGTTTAGGGTTTAGAGTCTAGGGTTTACTGTTGGTTGTGCAGGAACCCCCATTCTTTTCTTCAAAGGCAATGATCCTCTCCCGTTTGCGGTTTCCCAAGCAGCTGCAATATTCCACATAGGGCGACCCGATCAGGGTTTAGGGTTTAGGGTTTAGGGTTTGGGGTTTAGGGTTTGGTGTTTAGGGTTTCTGCGTAGACCATGTTTCGCAGCATCCCCCAGTTGCCTGCAGACGGCCCAGGTAGCAACGGGCACGCCGCCACACAGACCGTGGCCCCCACTTTGGGGTTCAGGGTTTAGGGTTTAGGGTTTAGGGTTTAGGGTTTAGGGTTTAGGGTTTGCGTGCCCGCCGTTGCATAAACCCCACTCCGACCAGTTGTCAGGAATGCAAGGAGTCCCGAGGGCCCCCAAGAAGAAGTTGCCGTTGCCGACGCCTCTCACAACGGAGGTTCCAGCTTCTAGTTTCTTCACAGTGCCTGCCCGCAAACCCTAAACCCTAAACCCTAAACCCTAAACCCTAAACCCTAAACCCCAAACCGTAGGCCCTAGGCCGGTGAAGTCGTTCGTCTTTGAGAGGCTCGTGTTGGTCCGCCGCACAGCTGCCGGCAGCTCGCCAGGCTGCAGCCCCGCTGAAGCCCCACCTAGGGTTTAGGGTTTAGGGTTTAGGGTTTAGGGTTTAGGGTTTGGGGGTACCGTCTTTCACGGAGGCAGCGGAAACGCTCGAATACAGCGTCGCCCCGTTTTGGCCATAAACCAAAACTTCTCCAGAAGTATAAATGATGACAAAAGATCGGTTGAGTTCTTCGACTGAGGCCACTGGACCTGTACATACACCCGAAACCTGGGGCTGAAGAGTGGGCAAGTTGAAGAATGCAAAGTGCAAAAAAGAGAAGACAGCGGCACTTAAAAGGAATTTAAAAGCAATTTAAAAGGCATTTAAATAAATATAATTCAAAAAAGAAACAAAAGGAGTTTTAATGGACTTTCAAGTTCCAAAAGATCCCAAAAATCACTTTTTGCAATTCTCAAGACCACTGGACCTGCGGGTACACCCCAGAAGTCAATGGCCTGGGCTGAGGGTTTAGGGTTTGGGCTTTCGACTTCAGGGTTTAGGGTTTAGGGTTTAGTGACCAGGATCTAGGGTTTAGGGTTTAGGGTTTAGGGTCCAGGGTTTAGGGTTTAGGGGAGAGAAAAAGGAATAAGCGTCAAAATACCAGCAGACCCTACAGGTACAGCAAACGAACAAATTAACAAATGAACATGAAAAAATAAAAATACGAATAAATAAATAAATAAATAAATAAATAAATAAATAAATAAATAAATAAATAAATAAATAAATAATAAATAAATAAATAAATAAATAAATAAATAATACATAAATTTAAAAATAAATAATATTTAAACAAATGACAAATATATAGCGCAAATGAAAGAATAGAAATGATTTGAAACAAAGAGACCAGTGCAAAGCGCCAACAGAAACGGGGCAAAACACGGGCACAGCGCATCAAACTCCAAACCCTAAACCCTAAACCCTAAACCCTAAACCCTAAACCCTAAACCCTAGCTGCCCACGCTCGTGAGTGAGTTCCAGAGGTATACTGCCGCCGCCGGAAGCTGGTTCTCCCCAAACCCCAAAAATGTTTTCTTCGTTAACAACCAGAAAAGCTGAAGCCGTAGCGTGCAGGCCTGCAGGCTCCAAACCCTAAACCCTAAACCCTAAACCCTAAACCCTCGTTTCAGCCTCCACAAACCCTCGAGTCCGTGTTGGGAAGCGGCTCTCCAACTCTCTCGAGCCCTTCTTCCCCAAACCCTAATCCCAAAACCCTAAACCCTAGCTTTTGCCCCTGTTCTTCGCAGCGCGGCACGCACTGCTGCGGGGCTCCCCAAACCCTAAACCCCAAACCCTAAACCCTAAACCCTAAACCCTAAACCCTCACTTTTGACACCGTTTTTCGCAGTGGAGTGCACGTTGCTGGGCACAGAACCTCCAGCTTCCAAATCCCCCCAAGCAATTAATTCCCAACTTCCTGCAGAGGCTTCGCTGCTGCCCTTTTGGCGAGCTGCTGCTGCTGCTTTTTCGTTGAAACGGACCACTGAAACGCCCAACGCCCAAACCCTAAACCCTAAACCCTAAACCCTAAACCCTAAACCCTAAACCCTAAACCCTAGGGCGGGAACACGAGCTGCGCCCACCAAACGCGGGCAGCCACAGGCCCGATTCAGTGCTTCATAGCTGCGCTCAGAGGCCTGTGCATTCCGTTGTGAGGGCCTAGGGTTTAGGGTTTAGGGTTTGAGTTCGAGGGTTTAGGGTTTAGAGGGTTTCGTCGCAAACACAGACAAACACCCACTGCTGTCCAAGCTAACAAACCTGAGCTGCAGCCTACAAGCCACTCTGCAGGCCCTGAAACCGGGACTTCAGGGTTTAGGGTTTAGGGTTTAGGGTTTAGGGTTTAGGGTTTAGGGCTGCCGGACTCTTGACTCCCGATGAAAGCTTCTCCTTAACAGACTGGAAAGAAGCAGATTCAGAAGCAGCAAAACCCTCGTTGCAAAACGGGGAAGAGCTGGTGCTGGTGCCCCACACGGCCAGTTCCCCTGCAGAGCCCAAACCCTAAACCCCAAACCCTAAACCCTAAACCCTAAACCTTAAACCCTAGGCTTCACGCGCTGTGTCGCAAAACGCTAGACCCTTGTCCTCCTGCATTGAAAAGCTAGAGGCATATGCAGCGTTTGCCTTCGAACTGCTGCACTAGCTGCAAACCCTAACCCCAAGCTCTAAACCCTAAACCCTAAACCCTAAACCCTAATCCCTAGGTGCTTTTTGCTTGCCTGTTGTGGAGATGGCAGCAAAGCAGGCCCGTTCAGCCCAAATTGATGCCGCCTGAAAACAGACGCGCCAAGCCTTTAAACCCTAAACCCTAAACCCTAAACCCTAAACCCTAAACCCTAAACCCTAAACCTGGGCTCCAAATCCCAAGCCCTGAACCCTAGACCCCAAACCCTAAACCCTAAACCCTAAACCCTCACCTGAAACTCGCCAGTACTCAGCCGAGTCGGAAGGACTACACCCTTGCCCCAAGTGTATACTCTCCCAGCTCCTGTCATGGCAGCAAACCCTACATCAGCTGCCACCTGCCCGCACAAACCCTAAACCCTAAACCCTTAACCCTAAGTCTTGGTCCCCAAACCCTAAACCCTAAACCCTAAACCCTGAACGGTGAGTCCTTTTAATTGTTCTAAAGGCCTACGAGCTCTGTCGCGTCGTTGGGCTCAGGGCTTGGCAGCTCCCCGCCTGCAGCAGAACACGCTCTGTAAGCAAAAAGCCCTAAACCCTAAACCCTCAACCCTAAGCCCTAAACCCTAAACCCTAAACCCTAAACCCTAAACACTAGCCCAGATCCCTAGACCGCAGGTCTTCGCTAGTCGCCTTCTCCTGGAAAGAGTGAAATAACGAAGAAGAAGAAGAGCCGCGTCAGTGACAAGCCCCAGGCGCCTAATAAACCCTAAACCCTGCCCCCCAAACCCTAAACCCTAAACCCTAAACCCTAAACCCTAAACCCTAAACCCTACCGACAGTCGTGTCTCCCCAAGCATAGACTATTCCGTTTTGCAGCAGAACAGCAAATGCCCCCGTAGAGGCGACGATGGACTTCACCCGTTGGCTCCGCGCGGCATCAAACCGCCCGAGGCCATTCTGTGGCAGCCAGACCCTAAACCCTAAACCCTAAACCCTAAACCCTAAACCCTAAACCCTAAACCCTAGGCCCTAAAGGCCCATGCCTGGCTCTTGAGTGCCCTCAATTCAGCTGCACAGAGCTCTCTCGGCGAAGACAAGTGCTGACGGAGGCGCGACACCAGCAAAACAAAGCCAAACCCTAAACCCTAAACCCTAAACCTTAAACCCTAAACCCTAAACCCTTACCTTGACTTCAGTTGTCATTTCCCCACCTTGCGTGGCCTCGCCCATCGCCAAAACCGTCCCGTCGGTAAACACGAGTGCGAAAGCTGTGCCTTTGGGGTGGCACGAAATCCCTGTGGCAGCCAGCCCCAAACCCTAAACCCTAAACCCTAAACCCTAAACCCTAAACCCTATGCCCCAAGCCTCAGGCTCTAAACACCAAACCCTAAGCTAGCTAAACTCAAAAGCTGCTCCCTAAAATCTGGAAACACCCCTTCGTTACCTCTGCGGCAACTTCAAAACCTCAAACGCATTAACCCTGAACCCTAAACCCTAAACCCTAAACCCTAAACCCTAAACCCTAGAGCGTACCTGCCATCATTACCGAGGGAGGCCTCTCAAGGTTCAGCTCCTCATTAAGTTCTTTAATGCCTGCGCAGCCTTTCGATTTGCTGTTGCTGCAGTAGACTTGAGGAGTGAAGCTTGCGTTTCTTGCCTGTGCACAAACCCTAAACCCTAAACCCTAAACCCTAAACCCTGGTCCCTACACCCTAAACCCTGAGCCTATTGCCCACAGGAATATTACCTCCTATCCCTCGCGAGCTGTTCTGCTGCAGTTAAACAGAAACGAAAAGCCATGCGGCCCAACGATCTCGCCAGCTGTAAACTAGGGTTTAGGGTTTAGGGTTTAGGGTTTAGGGTTTAGGGTTTCAGGCTCACTGTCAGGCCAACAGTGTACACGAAGGTGTCGAGGCCCCCGCACATGAAATCTACTCCCTGTAAGCAAGAAGACCCCACACTGCCCAGCCGGCTAGTTGGCTGGCTAGCTAGCTGGCTGGCTAGCTAGCTGGCTAGCTAGCTAGCTGCCTAGCTAGCTAGCTAGCTAGCCATATGTATAAATAGAAGGCCAGCAAGCTACTTTCTTAGCTAGCCATTCAAGCAGCCTAATTCGCCAGCTCGCGGCCGCTAGGGAGAGAGGCTGTAAACAAGCCAAGTAGCTAGCTGGCTAGCTAGCTAGCTATGTAGTGGAATAGCTAGCTAGCGAGCTAGCCAGCGAGCTTGCTGAGTAGCAAGCTAGCTAGCTACGGACGTCGCAAAGACGAAGGCAACAGCAAGCAGCTGCAGCGGCAAAATTGCAGCAGCAAAACTGCAGCAACAGACAGGGACAGCAGCAGCAGCAGCAGCGGCGACGGCAGCAGCAGCCACAGCAGCAGCAGAAACAGCAGCAACAACAGCAACAGCGATAAGCAGCAACAGCCGCAACAGCAGCAATACCAGCGAGGTCAGCAGCATCGCAAGCGCCACAGCGCGAGCTGCAGCAGAAGTAGCAGCAGCAGCACAAGCAAAACGAACAGCAGCAGCAGCAGCAGCAGCAGCAGCAGCAGCAGCAGCAGCAGCAGCAGCAGCACGATCCGAAGCAACAGCAGCATCAGCAGAAGAACGAGCAGCCTCAGGAGCCCTGCCAACAGCAACAGTGAGCCGCGCAGCAGCAGCACCATTACCATATCCAGAAGAAAGAGCAGCAGAGCAGCAGCAGCAGCGCCCCCACCACTTCTAGCAGCAAACTAAGCAGCAGCAGCTGCAGCAGCACCATCACCACCAGCGGGAAGAGCACAGCAGCAACAGCAGTAACAGCAAAAGCAAACGCAGCAGCAGCAAAAGCAGTGGCACCAGCAGCAATAACAACAGCAGAAGCAACAGCAGGCGCAACAACCACAACAGCAGCAGCAGCAGCAGCAGCAGCAGCAGCAGCAGCAGCAGCAGCAGCAGCTATTTTGCACCTGGGTGATAGATGATCCGTTGGTGTCTGTCCAGACTCCTGTGTCGCTTTTGCCTGCGTTGATTAAAGTCGTTGACAGCTGCGTCACTTGGGGAGTAATCAGCAGTGCAGCAGAGCCCGCTGCAGCACAGCAGCAAACAAACCTGCTGCTGCTACTGCTGCTGCTGCTGCTGCTGCTGCTGCTGCTGCTGGGCACGCCGCAACTACGGTGCCACTGCACTCGCGATGCTCGCAAGCGTGCAATGCAGCAGCAGCAGCAGCTGCTGCTGCTGCTGCTTCTGGGCACGTTGTGGCTACTGCCTCTAGCATCGGCACGCAGCAGCAGCAGCAGCTGCTGCTGCTGCAGCTGCTGCTGCTGTTGCTGCTGCTTACTGGAAGTAAACCACGCGTTGGTGATGTAGTTGTTTGTGGAGATGGTCAGGTAGCTAGCGACTTCTGTGCTGGCAAAGACTTTGCTGTTACTCGACAGGGCAGTCCTGCAGCAGCAGCAGCAGCAGCAGCAGTAGCAGCAGCAGCAGCACCAGTGGGACTGATGACGGCAGCAGCACAGCAGGAGTGCAGCAACCACGCAGCAGCAACGTCAGCAGCAGCGGAGACACGCCTTCCTGCAGCAGCAGCAGCAGCCGCCCCTTTAGCATTTGCTGCTGCAGCGTTCGAAGCAACAACGCTTGCAGCAGCAATCCCCGCAGCAGCAGCTCCCCTAGCACTTGCAGCAGCAGCAGCAGCAGCAGCATCAGCATTTGAAGCGGCGGTGTTTGCAGCAGCCGCATGCCCGGCGGCACCGTTTGCAGCAGCAGCAGCATGTGCAGCAGCGGCGTTCGCAGTAGCAGCAGCAGCATTTACAGCAGCAGCAGCAGCAGCAGCAGCAGCAGCAGCAGCTGGCTGACTGGACATCTGGGTCTGCTGCGTCTACGTGTATGAAAAAAGTCTTGGCGATTTGCATTTGTTGTTCGTAATAAGCAGCATATCCCCCGCTGGTAGACAGCGCAGCAGCAGAGGGAGTGGCACCCATGGCTGCAGCGCAGCAGCAGCAGCAGCAGTAGCAGCAGCAGCAGTAGCAGTAGCAGCAGCAGCAGCAGCACCATTTACAGCAGCAGCAGAAGCAACAGGTAAGAGAAGCGGCTTGGCAGCGGCAGCAGCAAGTAGCAGCAGGGGGGCTGGCTTTCATGGCTCCAGGGCAGCAGCAGCGGCACAAGCTGGAGGCGCAGCAGCAAACGCAGCAGCAGCGACTGCGGGATGGCAGCAACAGCAGCAGCAGGCAGTAGCAGCGGCAGCAGCAGCAGAAGCAGCAGCAGGAGCAACAGTAGCATCAGCATTAGCATTAGCAGATGCTGCAGCAGTTTCATCCGCAAAGAAAGCAGCGGCAGCAGCAATAGCAGCAGCAGCAGCAATAGCAGCAGCAGCAGTGGCAGCAACAGCAGCAGCAGCAGCAACAACAGCAGCAGCAGCAGCAGCACCACTGAGGGTGTCCCAAGTGATGTCCGTATATTCCCCGAGAGCGCCAGAGGCGGAGGGCCCCAGGAGGCGCTGCTCTTGCCCTGTGCCTTCAACGCCTGCACAAATTCCAAACCCTAAACCCTAAACCCTAAACCCTAAACCCTAAACCCTCGGCAGTTAGAGCCTAGTGAGTTGGGAAGGAAGAACAGGAAAAGGAGAGGAGGGAGCAGCTGAAAGAGCCAAAGAAATGCAAAAAGAGAAAAAAAGATAAAAAACAAAAAAGAAGAAATAGAAATAAAAATAAACAAAAAACAAAAAAGAAATAAAAAGAAGAAAAGAAGCAAAAGGAAACAAAGACAGCAAAGAGCGAAAATAAGCAAAAAAATCCAAAAATGCGAAAAAGGTGAAAAATGGAAAAAAGAAGGCAAAAGAAAAGCAAAAAGGAAAAAACAAAAAAGCAGAAATAAAAGAGAAAGAAAAAAGATGCAAAAAGAACCAAAAAGGAAAAGAAAAGATTCAAAAAAGATCGAAAAAAGATAAAAAAGAAAATAAAACTCACAATCATATTCGCCTTCTAAAACTCTCATTGGACTCATAACTGCTGCGCAGACATTCCCGCACTGTACGTACACCCCAGAGCCGCAGCAATTAAATGGAAAGAAAGGAAATAAATTTATTTTAATTAAATTAAAAAGGAAGTCAAAAAAGAAGACAATGAAACAGAAAGAAACAAGAAAAATAGCAGCAGCAGCAACGACAGCAGCAGCAGCAGCAGCAAAAGCAGCAGCAGCAGAGGCAGCAGCAGCAGCAGCAGCAGTGAAAGAAACTCAAAGCTGGAGTCGGGGACAGATGAATGAAGGCTACAAAATAGACCCTTGGGGCGCAGCAGCAGCAGCAACAACAGCAGCAGCAGCAACAACAGCAGCAGCAGCAACAGCAGCAGCAGCTGCAACAGAAGTAGTGGCATCAGGACCAGGAGCGGAAGCAGCAGAGACTGCAGGATTAGCAAAAGCAGCAGCAGCGACATCATGACCAGCAGCAACACTAGGGCCAGCAGCAGCAGCAGCAGCAGCAGCAGCAGCAGCAGCAGCAAAGAGAATTAAAGGCCAGCAGGCAGCAGCACTTAGGCTGTCTTCTGCAGCGAGACTAGAAGTGCGAGCCACTCTTTTGTTTCTTTTGTGTCTATTGTCTCTTTTATTTCTTTTGACTCTTTATCTTTGCTGCTGCTGCTGCTGCTGCTGCTGCTGCTGCTGCTGCTGCTGCTGCTGCTGCTGCTACGAACCTCAACAAAGGCATAGCCGGAAGAACCGGCGGAAGTGACGGCTTCGGCAGTGGGGAGAAACTTGCACGTTTGCTTCGAGTTGCCTGAGCTCCCTAAACCCTAAACCCTAAACCCTAAGCCCTAAACCCTAAACCCTAAACCCTAAACCCTAAACCCTAAACCCCGAAGCCCAGCCGCTACACATCACCCTTGCGGCGCCACGGGAGCCGCCACTGCTTCTTAAAGCTCGAGGCGAAGCCCCCAGCAAGCGCCGAAACTCCGCATTCAGGGTCCAGGGTTTAGGGTTTAGGGTTTAGGGTTTAGGGTTTAGGGTTTAGGGTTTACAGAGGGCGGCGAGCGCGGACTTGCAGCTCCAGACTGAGGAGCAGGAGTTGTTGCCGGAGCGCCACTGCGCAGTTTTGACTTTGATGATATCTTCTCCGCAACTCAAGTCCCCTTGATTGTTCTCCAGCACTTCAAATGCTGCAGCAGCAGCAGCAGCAGCAGCAGCAGCAGTGGGAGCAGCAGCAGCAGCAGTGGGAGCAGCAGCGGCAGCAGTGGGAGCAGCAGCAGCAGCAGTGGGAGCAGCAGCGGCAGCAGCAGCGGGAGCGGTGGGAGCAGCAGTGGGAGCAGCAGCAGTGGGAGCAGCAGCAGCAGCAGTGGGAGCAGCAGCAGCAGCAGCAGTAGTGGGAGCAGCAGCAGCAGCAGCAGCGGGAGCAGTGGGCGCAGCAGCAGCAGCAGCAGCGGGAGCAGCAGCAGCAGCGGGAGTAGTGGTAGCAGCAGCAGCAGAAGCAGCAGGAGTGGGAGCGGCAGCAGCCCCATTGGGAGCAGCAGCAGCCGCAGCAGGGACAGCAGCAGCAGCAGCAGTGGGAGCAGCAACGGAAGAAACAGCAGCAGCAGCAGGAGTGGCAGCAGCAACAGGAGTGGCAGCAGCAGCGGCAACCACAAAGCTGGCTCAGGTGGTGCGCGGGGACTCAGAGAGTGGCACGATTTAGGGTTTAGGGTTTAGGGTTTAGGGTTTAGGTTATGGGACATGCAGTTTAGGGTTTAGGGTCTGGGGTTTAGGGTTTAGGGTTTAGGGTTTAGCCAGCCTTCTCGCCCCTGTCTTTACGTTGGCCCCACCCACTCAAATGCCGAATCTCGCTGACCTAAACCCTAAACCCTAAACCCTAAACCCTGAATCCTGAACTCCAAACCTAAACTCTAAACCCTAAAATCTAAACCCTAAACCCTAAACCCTAAACCCTAAACCCTGCGTCTAAACGCACCGAGGGTGCGCAGCACAGTGTCGCCGTCTTCTGCTGCTTGCAGCTGCAGCGCCGAAGCATCTTGAAGGAGCAGGCCTTGCAGCTTGCTGCTGCTGCTGCCGCTGCTGCTGCTGCTGCTGCTGCTGCTGCTGCTGCTGCTGCCCCAAGGGAGGCTGCCTGCAGCGAGAGTGTGTTGTTCAAGGCCGCGGTGAGGCCCTGTTGCTGCAGCTCTTTGCAGCAGCTGCTGCAGAAGAAGCAGCTGCTGCAGCAGCAGCAAAACTGCGAAGGACATTGTGAAGCGCTGCAGCAGCACCGCTAGTCATCGAAGCACAGCAGCAGCAGCAGCAGCAGCAAGACGAGCAGCTGCAGCAAACGCTGCCCTTTTGTCTTCAAAGCCGCTAGAACCCGAAGCCTGCTGCTGCTGCTGCTGCCGCCGCTGCTGCTGCTGCTGCTGCTGCTGCTGCTGCTGCCCAGCAGACCTTGCTGCTGCCCAGACGAGGGTCGAGTCTGAGGTGTATGCGCATACACCCCAAGTAGGCAGGGCAAAAGAGTTATTACTACTAGCTGCAGCAGTAGCAGCAGCTATTTTTAAAGCTTTCTCAGCAGCAGCAGCAGCAGCAGCAGCAGCTGCTGCTGCTGCTGCGCGGGCGCGGAGACCGACCGATCCGGCAGTCGCGGACCAGCCAGGACACTCTGCTCCTGCTGCTGCTGCTGCTGCTCCCCTGCTGCTCCCCTGTGTCTCCGTAGCAGCAAAGAACTGAGGCAACAGCATATTTCAAGAAGATCTAGCGCGAGAACTAAGGGCATTCGTGTTTGCTGCTGCTGCTGCTGCTGCTGCTGCTGCTGCCGCTGAGGCGCAGCCGCGTTCACGTCGATGGGCCAGGAGCAGCAGCAGCAGCGACAGCGGCAGCAGCAGCAGCAGCAGCAGTTGCTGCTGAACTGGTGAGCAACAGTGAATAGCTAAAGTGAGCCTATACAACTTCAAGTTTGTTTCAGACTAATACTTTTACAAGTTTTTCGAGCTGTGCTAGTGCTGCTGCTGCTGCTGCTGCAGCAGCAGCAGCAAGGACGGTAGGTGGCAGCAGCAGCTGCAGCACCTCAGCAGCACAGCATGCTAGCACCGGGCCCATTTGCAGCACAAATTAAGCCTTATTTTGACTGCAATTGGAGGCAGCATAATTAGCAGCAGCAGCAGCGGCAGCAGCAGCAACATGCTGCTGCTGCTGCTGCTGCTGCTCGGCCGCTGAACTGCTACCCCTGTGGGGTAAAGCCCCAAGTTGGAGCAGCACCAGCAGCAGCAGCAGCAGCAGCAGCAGCAGCAGCAGCAGCTATTGGCTCCCGCAGCAGCAAAAAAGAAGCTTTTCTATTTTTTAAGTTTCTGGAGGTGCCTATACACTGCAGGCTCTGCTTTTTGCCGACGGGGACACCATGGTACGTCTGCTGCTGCTGCTGCTGCTGCTGCTGCTGCTGCCGTTGCTGCTGCTGCTGCTCTCACCCTCTCCATTTCTTGTTTTCTGTAGCCTTAAGGCTGCCTCACAGTCGCTGCAGCAAAGGGCTCGCCACGAGGACCGCGACTGCGCGTTGCTGCAGCAGCAGCAGCAGGTGCTGCTGCTGCGCTTCAGCAGCAACAGCTGCAGCAGCCGGAGCAGCTGCGGCTGCGGCTGCTGCTGCGGCTGCAGCAGCCGGCGAGAGCGCGGAGCAGCAGCAGCTGCAGTCGATATGCTGCAGCGCAACTGCCCATCGATGGGATGTGGGAGTTGGGCTTTCGTGCTGCTGCTGTAGCTGCTCCCTCCGAGAAGCAGCAGGCGCAGCCCCGCGCTGCTGCTGCACGTGTTGTGCTGTTGTGGGGCTTCTGCTCCGTTGCTGCTGCTGCTGTCGCCGCGGCGCCCCCTGCTGCTCTGCCGCTGCCTGCATGCAAGTCTTGCTGCTGCTGCTGCTGCTGCTGCTGCTGCTGCTGCAGGGTTCCATCAAGGGTTTGAACCTGAAGAAGCGGCTGGGGAAGAAGCAGAAGCAAAACCGCCCCATTCCCCACTGGGTGCGGATGAAGACAGACTGCAAGATCAAGTGCGTTGAGGTGTACAGACACCCCAATCCAGCAGCAGCAGCAGCAGCAGCAGCAGCAGCGGCAGCAGCAGCAGCAGCGGGAGGAGCGGGGTGCGTGTCTTGTGGTTTGCTGCTGCTGCAGGTACAACTGCAAGAGGCGCCACTGGAGGCGCACCAAGCTCGGCATGTAATTGCTGCAGCAGGGCAGTTTGCTGCAGCAGCAGCAGCAGCTGCTGCTGCTGCTGCCGTTGCTGCTCGGAAGGGTCCCGCTGTTGCTGCTGCTGCAGTTCGTGGCTGGAATGCCGCGAGCCGCAGCAGCGCCTCGTGCCAAACTCTGGAGCTTCGGGTTTTGGTGGTTTAGGGTTTATTTGGGGTTTAGGGTTTACCAAGGGTTTAGGGTTTACCTAGGGTTTAGAAGCTTTAGGCTGTGTCTAGGGTTTAGTGTAGAGCTAGGGTTTAGGGTTTGTGCAGCTAGGGTTTACGTTTGCAGCACAGTGGGCGGGGGTTTAGGGTTTAGCGCTGCTAGGGTTTAGGCTGGCAGCTGCAGCACTAGGGTTTAGGCTCGAGGGTTTAGGGTTTAGACTGCCGAGGGTTTAGGGTTTAGACTAGTGAGGGTTTAGGGTTTAGTCTCGGGACGCGATCGCAGCGGCGCTGCTGCAGCAGCAGCAGCAGCAGCAGCTGAATGTTCAGCAGACTAGCTAGCTAGCTAGCTAGCTGGCTAGCTAGGTGGCTAGCTGCCCAGCCACATGTGCAGAAACAGCCAATCAGAAGGGCAGCTAGCTGCGAAGACAGCTGCTGCTGCTGCTGCTGCTGCTGCTGCTGCTGCTGCTGCTGTGGGAGCCTCGAGCAGCGCAGCAGCCCCTAGTGTACCATTCCACGGCAGCAAGAGGTCGCGCTGCTGCTGCTGCTGTCTTTGCTGCTGCTGTTGCTGCTGCTGCAGCAGGGGGATCCGCTGCTGCTGCAGCTTAACCGCCTGCGGGGCTGCTGCTGCCTTGCTGCTGCGCCCAAAGTGGCTCCGCGCACCGTAGACAGCAGCAGCAAAAGTTTCAGGATTTGCTGCTGCTGCTGTTGCTGCAGCAGCAAATTTACTGGCTTGACAGGCTGTTCTTTGGCTGCGGGGCCGCCTTGCGTGCAGCAGCAGCAGCAGCAGCGGCAGCAGCGCACACCGTGCAAAAGCAGCAACTCTAGCAGCACACGATGCAGCAGCAAAACGCTATTATTGCTCTTTTATGTTTAGCTACAGGAAAAGTGAAGCAGCAGCAGCAAGAAAATGGTTGCAGCTGCAGCAGCAAGGGCGCGGACAGCAGCAAAAGCAGCAGCAGCAGCAGCAGCAGAGGAACGGCGCAAGAATAGCAGCAAAACCTTCTATGATGAGGAGGCTGGTCTCTTAAAGGCAAATGAGCAATGTGGCTGTTGTGTGAAAGCGAGAAACTCCATAAACAAACAGCAGCAGCTGCTGCTGCAGCAGCAGCAGCTGCTGCTGCTGCCAGTAGCCGCAGCAATTGCAGCCGCTGCAGCGGGGCCTAGTAGAAAAGCCAAACCATACTTTGTACGCCCTCAAGGTTGTTGCTTCTTTCTTATTTATTAGTTTAGCTGCAGCAGAGCAGCAGCAACACCGCGGCTTAGCTTTTGCTGCTGCTGCTGCCTGGGCACAGCCGCAAGGGCGGCAGCTGCTGCTGGGCGCTGTCACTGTACACCTTCTGCAGCATTAGCAGCAGCTCCTGGTGTTATTTTCTTTCTACCCTCCCCACAAAGGGTAGCAGCAACCAGCTGCAGCAAGGGCTTCTCTTGCTGCACCGTCTGCTGCTGCTGCTGCTGCTGCTGCTGCTGCTGCTCGCCCCGAAAGAGTGCATGCGCCATCTCCGGCGTAAAACTGCATCTGCTGGGGGGAGCTCCCCAGCAGCAGCAGCAACAGTAGCTGCTGCAGCAACAGCACCTGCTCTCCGAGCTTTTTGGCCTTCAGCAGCAGCAGCAGCAGCAGCAGCAGCCGCGACGAGGCAGGGAGGCAGCAGCAGCGCTGCGGCTGGCAGCAGTGAAACATACTGCGCTTGCAGCAGCACCGCTGCACTTGCGGGGGGCGGCGGCAGCAGCAGCAGCAGCAGCGAAAACGGCTTCCGCGCTGAATAGCCCTGCAGCGCAGCAGCTGCAGCAGCAGCAGCAGCAGCTGCAGTTGCTGCTGCTGCAGCAAAAGGCCTAGCCATGCATGTAGATCGTGCTGCAGCTTCTGTTCCTTTAGCGGGGGAAGCAGCACCAGCAGCTTCCGGTGTATGCGCAGACACCCCACAGGCGGATGAGGACAAGCAGCAGCAGCAGCAGCAGCAGCAGCAGCTGCAGTTGCTGCTGCAACCGCCGCTGCACGTCTCGCACCAACAGCAATTGCATGGGCCTTCCGCAGCTGCTGCAGTAGCAGCAGCAGCAGCGGAGCCACCGTACAGCGGCCGCCACACCAATGCAGCAGCAGCAGCAGCAGCAGCAACAGCAACAGCAGCAGCAGCAGCCGCAGCAGCGGCAACAGCAACAATGGCAGCAAGGGAGTTCTGGGCCCCTCATGAGACGCCCGCAGCAAAGCCTTACCCATTAGTGGCTTGCTCAGGACAAAGTACTGCAGCAGCAGCAACAGCAGCAACAGCAGCAACGGCAGCAGCAGCAGCTGCGAAAACAGCAGCAGCAGCTCCCACAATAGCTGGTGTAGCAGGGGAGGCGCCTGCAGCAATGAGCGCAGCAGCAGAACCCCCACCAGCAGCAGCAGCAGCAGCAGCAGCAGCAGCAGCAGCAGAGGCCCTCGACAGAGACCTCAAACGCCTCTGGTCTCCTTTGGACGCATGCAGCGCCGATGCCGCTGCAGCAGCAACTTGTGCTGCTGCTGCTGCTGCTGCGAGCGTTCCTACGGCGCCAACGGCAGCAGCAAGTCCAGCAGCAGCAGCAGCTGATGCTGCTGCTGCTTCGGGGCCACAAAGTCTTGTTTCTGCTGCTGGTTGTCCCGCTGCAGCTGCAAGGGCTGCGGAAACGCCAGCAGCAACTGCTGCAGCAGAAGAGGCAAGACTCGGTATTTCTGAAGCAGCAGCAGCAGCAGCAGCTGCTGCTGCTGCAGCAGAGCGGCCTCCACCCGCTGCTGCACTCCTGCTGCCGCCTCGCTGCTGCATGCGTCGCCGCAGCAGCAGCAGAAGCAGCAGAGGAAGAAGCAGCAGGTGCAGCAGCAGCAAAAGTAGAAGGGGCCTCAGGGGCCAGTCAAACGGCGGCAGCAGGAGCGGCAGCGGCCACAGGCGACAGCAGCAGCAGCAGCAGCAACAGCAGCAGCAGCAGCAGCAGCCTGACACAAGCCAAATAGCTGCGTCAGTGCAAGAAGCAACAGCAGCTGCAGAACTTTTGGATTCTGCTGCTGCTGCTGGTGCTGCTGCTGCCTCTTCACAGGCACCTCCAGGGAGCCCAAGAGGCGAAGCATCTGCTGCTGCAGCATCTGCTGCTGCAGCACCTGCTGTTGCTGCAGCTGCTGCAGCACCGCCAGCAGCAGATGCTTTACACGGACTGGAGGCTGCACACGTTCGTGCAGAAAGATCTGCTCCATTTGCTGCCAGGGATTACAGCGAGGCAGCAGCAGCAGCTGCAGCAGCAGAAGCAGCAGCAGCAGCAGCAACTGCGGCAGGAGCAGAGCCAGACGGAGAGGGGGCCTCAGCGCGCCCCGGAGATGACTGCAGCAGCAACAGCAGCAGTTGCTGCAGCAGCAGTAGCAGCAGCGGCGATGGCCAAGGACACATGAACGTGAGGTCTCCACACTTGGAGCAGCAAAACCAGCAAATGGAGCAGCAGCAGCAGCAGCAGCAGCAGCAGCAGCAACAGCAGAAGCCTCAGCGAGCCAGCAGCACGCAGCAGCAGCTGCGTGCGATTCTCTTATCGTCTCTTGCTGAGCGGCAGCAGATGCAGCAGCAGCTCCAACAGCAGCAGCAGCAGCAGCACAACAGAAGATGCCAGCGGTGGCAAGAGCAGCACGTGCAGCAGCAACAGCAGCAGCAGCAACAACAACAGCAACAGCTGCTGCTGCAGCAGCAGCAGCTGCTGCAGCAGCAGCAGCTGCTGCAGCAGCAGCACGAGCAGCAGCAGCACCAGCAGGGACTTGCACGGTCTTCCGGCGGTCGCCGCGGCAGCGCGGGCAGCAGCCGCTGCGGGGATCTGCAGCAAGATCAAAAGCCGCAGCAGCAGCAGCCGCAGCAGCAGCAGCAGCAGCAGCGGAGGCGCGGTTCGGTGCAGCAGCTTCGGCAGCAGCGTCAGCAGTTGCTGCTGCCAGTTGCTGCTGCAGCGGATGCTGCAGCAGCGCATTCGGGAGGGTTGGGAGGAGTTCTATCGGGAGCTTCGGAAGCTTCGCTGCAGCTGTACCAGCAGCAGCAGCTGATGCAGCAGCAGCAGCAGCATCAGCAGCAGCAGCTGATGCAGCATCAGCAGCAGCATCAGCAGCATCAGCAGCAGCAGCTGATGCAGCAGCAGCAGCAGCATCAGCAGCAGCTGATGCAGCAGCAGCAGCATCAGCAGCAGCTGATGCAGCAGCAGCAGCATTTTCCGCGCCATTTGCAGCTGCCGCAGCTGGAGTTGCAGCCTGGGTCTGCTGCGCAGCAGCAGTTTGTGTTGCCGAGCGGGCTGCAGCAAGAGAGCATGCAGGGGAGCAGCTCTGGAAGCAGCAGCAGCAGCAGCAGCAGCAGCAGCAGCGTGGCGCCCCTGGTGTGCGCGTTGCCTGCTGCGGGGGCGGGGTGTGCTTCGGCGTCGGAGCGCGCGGCCGCTGCCGCTGCAGCAGCAGCAGCAGCAGCAGCAGCAGCAGCAGCGGGAGCAGGGGGTGGTTCGGGCGGGGCGTCTGGGGTTGGCTTCGCGTCCGGAGAGCAGCGCGTGGGTGCAGCAGCAGCAGCAGCAGCAGCCGCAGGCGCGTCGTCGGGCGTCGCCGCAGCAGCGTCGCCTTCAGCAGCAGCAGCAGCAGCTGGCAGCAGCAGCAGCAGCGGCAGCAGCAGCGCGGGGTGCAGCAGCGGGCAAATAAGCCGGCTGCTGCTGCTGTCGGAGCACCTGCTGCAGCAGCTGCTGCAGCAAGTGACCCCCTCTGCTGCTTCCCGCGAAGAGAAGCGCGTGCTGTACAACTCCCTGGCCCACTTCGTCAGCCACGTCCTCGGCAGCAGCACTTCGCTGCATCTTGCTGGCAGCACGGCTTACGATGTTGATGCAGCAGGAAGTGACTTGGATGTAGTTTTGGTGACTCGGGGCTATCGGGCGGACTCTGTGGGGGTGCTGCAGCACTTGAGAGCCACGATCGAGGAGGTGCAGCAGCAGCAGCAGCGCAGGAGCGAGTGGCCGCTGCTCCTCGCCAGACTGCAGCTCGTCGAAAGCGCCAGAGTCCCCATCTTGACCCTCAGAACCCCGGGAGGCTCTGTGGTCTGCGACGTGTCAGTGAACACCAGCAACAGCGTTTGGCACAGCGAGTTCTTCGGCTGGCTGCTGCAGCAGCAGCCGCAGCTGCGGCCCCTCATGCGGCTGCTCAAGGTCTGGGCGCGCAACCGCCGCCTCCCCACCATGAAGGAGGGCGGGCTGCCTTCCATCGTCTGGATGATCCTCGTGGCTTTCCTCTGCGACGCCAAAAAATACGCTGCTGCTGCGCCCAGCAGCAGCAGCAGCAGCAGCAGCAGCAGCAGCGGCGGGGGAGGGGGC